ACCTGGCATATGGTAGGTGTTCCATATTTGTTGGATGAATCTAGGTGGAAGGTTGGGGCAGTTTGTTTGGGACAGGTAGCCTAAACCGCAACCCTTAAACCATGTATGCAAGTCACAGGCTTATGCCTCCATCTATCACTGGTCTATTGTGACAAGCCTCAGTCTGATCCATCAATGCCAGGGTCCAGTTCTCCAGACGACCTGTAGAAGATCTGAAGCTGCCGCTAAGCCTTGTATTTCTCTTTATGGCCTGACAGCCCTTGCCCTTGTTAAGGGTTGGGAGGTGTTAGGAAGCCTGTGGGATTCCCTCAGTGGACTCTTGAGGCTGGTCTTCAGGGAGCATTCGTCTTTCCTTGGATCCCCAAAATGGAAAAGAAACTTTGGAATGATTTAGTCCTTGACTCCTTGCTCTGAAGGCAGCTTTTTAGAGTTGATCTCTGGCTGCCCTGCAGGTGCTGGATCTGCTGGCACCACAGACATCGGGGCACAGAGGAAGTGGCTATTTCTACACTCAGTGCTCAGAACAGTGGGCACTAAGAATAGTTTATAGCCCGACAGTCCTAGCGCGCCCGGCCGGCATGCATTTGTTCCGTGTGTGCAGCAGTCTGACCTGTGTCCCGGCTTACAGTTGGGGACCTCGGGTGAGATCCTAAGCACTTTGCTTTTCCTTTTCCTCTGGATGATGAGGCTGTTCTGGGGGCTGAGTGAGGTGGGTGGGACTGACCGGCACAGGGTATCCTGCCTGGAAATTTGTTCACAGGGCTGGGCTGGGAGCTTCTTAGCAACAGTCCTTGGGCAGGTGTGCAAATCCTCAGCTAAGAACCATATGCTGGTGTGAGCTCCCTGTGGCCCTGGGTGGGCAGTCGGAGCCACCTCGCACATGAGCGCCCACACTCCAAGGACCCTGAGACAAGCAGAGCACTTTCAGGAGCAGGAGGGGCTTGGTCAGTTTGGGCCGGGTGGGCTGCTAGAGGTTCGCTCCCTGCATTTCCCTGTCCAAGAGTTGGGAGTCGGGGCCCAATGTGGATCCCCTCAGTGGGCTGATAACTCTGCAAATGATCGTCCCAGCCAGGGCACTGGGTAGAGAAGGGGCTGTAGGTAACCCCACTGGGATGACAGGTGTAACCCACTGTCCTTGTCCCCTTGCAGAAAAAAATAAAAAAAATAATAAAGTTGACCTCTGGAGGAGCATGGGGAAGGGAAATCTGCATCTGAACACTTGCAGCTCCACCCCCCCCCAAGTCCCCTTTCTATTTTACTCTTAAGCCCAGAGATGAGTATAGTACAGCCTCAACTAGAAACCCTTTCTGTCCCGTCTTCAGACTCATTGAAATATAATCTGGGGCCTGTTGTATCATTTGGAGTGGTTTTTACTATCATTTGACATCTGTGGTCCCAGGTAGGATACTTATAGTAGAAATCAAACTCGCTTCAGGAGTAGGGGGACCAGACCTGAGGTTGAATCCTGCCTCCACTGCCTGCATGCTGTGTGACTTTGGCCAACTTCTCAGAGTTACCCCCCCACCCCACCCCCACACACACAACCTTATAAATTAAGGCATCAACTACTTGTTTCAAAGATTAAATGAGCTAAAATATGTAAAGTAAATATTAATTTTGCAGTAATCTTTCTATTCTGTCCTCTACTTTCTTCCTCGTGGTCCTTAGTTCTCTTTTTACATAGTTATTCCCAGCAAGCTGTTATTCAAAATCCTGTTTATTAATAAATCTGTCACTACAGCAGTTCTACCATTATATGGACTCTGGCTTAAAATAGTGAATTTGGTGTGACATATTTATTCCTATTATTTATGTCCAGCCTCTATGTAGTAATGTTATCAAATATCCCTTTATTGAATGGTTGAAATGAGTGACATAAAAGGATGCTATTTGTATTATTTGGAGATTTTTCAGTATGTATTTTTGCTTTTCCTAATCAGTGCCACTGAAGGAGAAGAGACTGATGGAAGTCAAATTAGGGGAGCTGCCAAGCTGGATAATGATGCGGGATTTCACCCCTAAAGGCATTGCTGGAGCATTTCAAAGAGGTCAGAGCCTTTTGGATATGTGTAAACAGAAGCAAATCTCTGGTTCTTCAGATTTCTTTTTCCTGAATTAATTTGGGTGGTAAAGGCCTTGTCTCAGACCAGTAAGTTATGTGGATGATAGGGAGAGGTCGTTAGCTTTTGAATTTCATGTTTGGTCCTGTCAAAGACAGGCTCTGAGATATTTCAGCCAAGAAAACATTTTCTATTGCTTTATATCAGTACCATTGCCTTCATCTTAGAGAAATGTCTATGAGCATTTTCACATTATTAGACTTAAGAAAAAAATGAGTGAAGCATAGTGGACATCTGTCTAAAGTATAATGCTCATCTTCCTGCCAAGCAAAACTTCCATGATGAATATTTGAAATGGTCTATCCTTCATGTCTGTGCATTTTAAAGTGCACAGCTCAGATCAGTCTGGCTCACAGTCAGATCAGTCCTGTGGAACCCATGTCATGTTCCAAGACTAAAGACCCACATTATGAAAGGTCTCCAGCTTCTCAGGGGCTTCGCTCTGTATTTTTCTTTCTAATACTGACTTCCCTGTGGCTTTCTTTTATGTGCCATCTTTCCTCCTGCCCTGAGGCCTTTCCTCAATTTTGCCCTCAGATTAGAACTCTACCTTTTCCCTATAGTTACAGTAGTCCCCGACTCCATGGAGGTGACTGTGTCCTGTTCATGCCCACAGCTCTCTGCAGTGCTTCTTCACAGCGTCCCTCACTGTTATAAACCGTGGCCTTCTATAATCATTTCAGTCTTTTTCTATCTACTAGGCCATGAGCCCCAACAAGGCAGATATGGTTTGTCCCCTCATTGATGGGAGCACCTAATAAAGAGAAACGCACAAAGCCTTCTTCCCTGAGTGGCCCTTACTGGGGATTGGATTCTCAGTCAGAATTAGGGTAAGGGTTTCCCAAGGCTGGAGGTGAGGGTGAGGTAGGAGCAAAGGCTGACAGGCTAAACCAAATCTACAAGATGAGGGCCAAAGGGTAGGGGCAGAATTAAGGTGGGCCTAGCTGGAGCTTCTCATGGGCTTGTGGGGACCCAAGACTCGTGGGGGCATTTATGTTTTTCCCTTTATGAACCCGAGAATCTACATAGGGTCAGTGGCTTAAAGAGCTAGAGCAGGACTGGGTCCCTGAATTAAGCCAGATTCGATTTTGCACTGCATGAAGCAGTCATAGCAAAGCAATGATCTTCTCTTCTGTTTGCAGGTTACCACAGGTATTACAACAAGTACATCAATGTGAAGAAAGGGGGCATTGCTGGGGTTTCTATGGTGCTGGCAGCTTATGTGTTTTTCAACTACTGCCGTTCTTATAAGGAACTAAGTAAGTGTCTTTCTTTGGTTACCTTGCCTTCAGTGGGGTTTCCCATGAGAGGGTAGCATTGGCTCACTGTCAGATTTAGTCCATTATTCTACTGACAGCTGAAGAATTGGAGGGACTTGTCAGAATATAGTTTTTAGGATTTTAAGTGAGAAAATTGTGGCAAAGAGAAAATACACAGAAGAATAAGATGAAGCTGGGGTTAAGGTAATACTTGGGAAGCATTCTATAAGATACTGCAGGCTCTGCCAAAGGTTGATGGAAAATTTGGCTTCATTTTCCTAGCAGCCCAAGCAGAGGGAAGTTGAGTGGTACAATCTGTTTGGGCAGTGCTCTGGAGAAGTGTAGCTGTTCCTGGTTCTGAGATCCAAGAGGAGCTTGTCCAGTGGGAGATGCCAGAAAGTGTCATTGGTGACTGGGTTTCATGGCTGTTTCTGATAGTGTCCAGCCCCGTCTGTGGCATCTGGGGTGATGCTGGCTCCAAAGGACTGGACAGGTTCTTGGGGGCCATTATCTGAGTGGGTGTTCTTCTGGGAAGGAAGAGGCTGGCCAGGGAGCAGATGAGCACCTGAGATGCCTTCATGTCCTCAGGTCAGCAGTTCCGAGACCCTGACAGGCAGGTTCTAGGTTATTTTCTGAAAGGAATTCTCAGGATGGCTTTATGATTTTAGCTCGATGCTTCCCCTCTCGTTTTGTGCTTTCCCTGTACCTTTGAAGAAATTTACTTTTGACTTTCTAACTTCAGAGCATGAGCGACGACGCAAGTACCACTGAAGAGGGCCCAGTGTGGACTCCACATTCCTGACCATGACCTTTGCCCAGCACCTCTGAATCCTTTCATATTGTAATGTAACACCTAATAAAAGGTGGCTGGTACTGGGCTGCTTCACTGGTTTGGCCATTTCCCCTCACTTCAGGTCCCTTGCACAAGGTGGGACAAGACTGCCTTACCACTCCCGAAGGGGGACTGTCAGCGCAGGGCATCGAATCATGAAGCCTTGGTGGACACCCACATCACTGGGATTTTGCCCCAGCTCACTAGGGGGTCATTTAGCAGTACTCTTTCAAGTGTTTCCCTGTTCTTTGTCTTGTGTGTCCTGAGCACTTTTGGCCTTTTGTCACCTAACTGCTATAGTATAAAGCAGAAGTCCTGTATTCCTAAGAATGCCTTCCCCACCATTGTTCTTCATTACTCCTGGGTATGTGCCTGATGGAAGCTTAGTGGGATGATCTAAGGGAGGGAAAACACAGGCCCTGAGAGCCCATATACAGCACTTTTCCTTACCTTTATCAAAGGCCTCAGTAAAATGTGAAGGCCAGATTCATTTCTTGTTAAGGGGCCTATGGTGAGCCTATATACTCCATGGAGTATAAGGGAGTGAGATGCTGTGGCTCATTTTCTCCTAGACCTGAATTTGAATAAATACCATCCAACATTTGAGATGAAGTAAGGAGACCTACCAGCAAAAAGACCTTTCACCGGCAGCATCACTTCACTTCTGAAGTCATTCGTTGAAAGGGGATAAGCAGGCACCAATGTCAAAGCTTTGAGCCAGGCAGCTAGTGGATCAGCCAATAGCAAGATCCTCTCCTTGGCATGGAGTCTGAAGCAATGAGACACAACTTAAAAAACAAGCTTTAATCAACCTCATAAAAATTGTTCTTATAATTGAACTTGGATAGGTCCCCTTGCCCAGCAAGTTCCAGGTGATAGTTTCACATTTCCAGGCTTAAGGTGGTCTCCATAGGCCAAAAGGTGTCTGAGTGACAGTACAGATGCTTGAGGGGCAGGAGGTAGGTGCACAGGTGGATCATGTCACCCCTTTAAGGGTGGCCTGTAGCTCAGCTTCAGGTATACCTTAAACACTGTTACGCATGTGCCCCAAGAAAATAAGCCTAGAGGAAAAAGACCCTCACACTGGAGAGCCCTGCACCCCTCCTCAATCGCTGCCACCTTGGAACAGGACCAGGCTGAGGCAACAAGCCCACTTGAGTTTGCCCTGAAGGGCTGCCTCGTTCAAATCACATTGATAGGCACAGCTTCTGAATTCAGCAGGACATGGAGGAAGCAGGCATGACCTAGCCTGTTTTGAGGACCCACCAGTCCCTGGGGTCACCAAGAAGTGTTTAATGAGGCCCAAGGGAAAGGGATGTCTTTCATACAGAACTGCTTGTATAAGCTCTTCCCCACAACTTCCTCCTCTCCAGAGAGCAGTGTTCAGGAAGTCCCAGACAGATGTTGATGCCTAGACACACATGATGCTGATTTGAGGGACAGAACTGGAGCACATGTTCCCTTTTTAAAAGAGACTACAGCAAAATGGTAGGGAAACTGACAGATGTTGCCCCTCAGACTGATAAACGCCAGTGTGCTTGCCTACCAGCTCCAGCCAGAGTTGCACTAACACTGGCATTGAACAGTTAAATGCACAATCCCAAGGATGGCCCAGAGTGGTCCCCGAAATGGGGCCCTTTGGGCTGTTCTGAGCTGTCCCCAGCTGCTGTCACTGTCCACTGAGAAAGGCCAAGTGCCCTTTGGTGCATCTGTTGGCGTAGTGTCCTTTTTCACCACACTGGGAACAGTAGGAAGGAAAGAAGAAGGCAAAAAAAAAAAAAAAAAAAAAAAAAAGTAATTTTCAAATGCAGTTTTCAAGTATGGTGGCACTCATCAAATACCAGGTTGGGAACAAGGACTCTGAAATTCTCAGTGGTACAGAGTTTCATTGAAATATAAGGGTAAAGCTACAGAAGATAAGGTGGTATAGAAACTGTAGCCAAACACTTGTCAAACCTGCAGCCAAAGGATGATCCGAGAGCACACAGTAGTGAGCTCCTTCAGCCGGCTGGGCACATGGGACCTGCCCACAGAAGGGCTCTCAAGGTGGTAGGAAGAAGCCCACAGCACCAGAGCTGCTCCACCTGTCCAGGAATGCAGCCTCTCTGCATGGCTGGCCACCTACCTGTGAGGCACATTCTGGGACTGCCTGGCGATGGGAGGGAACAAGAAGAGGGAGAGAGAGAGACAGAGACAGAGAAGCTACCAGGCTCCTCCCCCAATGCAGGGGGGGATTCATTGCTGTGGACACTGTGGGCTACACCCAGATTTCCCCTCCTGGTTCTTGCACACCTGCCTAAGCTATCCCTGGGGACAGGTTTCGGTCACAGGAGCAGAGATGGGACAAAATGGTTAGACTTGGGTGAACAGACCCGGTAAAATCACCTCAAAAATCTAGCATGGACCCTGATTTGTCCTGGTTCTGATTATCCAGTACCTGCCTTATTTTTACTTCATTCAACCTTTTTGCTCCTCAAAAAGGAGAATTCTAAGAAAGGAAGCAAATGGCATCCTCAAGCACCAAACAAGGGGTCTGGAGGTGGTAGGGGCACCCACTCTGCACTAACCCATTCAGTGCTCTCGCAATCCCTGCTTCCTCGGCACTTCCTGGAGGGTGGGGCTCTAATTGGTCACTACTGCCTAGAACTCTTGGCTGCTCTATTCCCAAGCCTGCTGTCCTCATGTTTCCAAGTCTTTACCTGGACTTGTGACCTGTGTGGACAAGTGGCCTCTGTAGCTGCCAGTTAGTCCTTTGGTTGATGTGATGACCAGAGGGAGGGACTGTGTGGGCCCATTCATGGCACTTGGCATGTCCATCAGACTCCACAGCTGATCCTGGGGAGTCCAGGATTCCCACAAGGCAACTTTAATATTAGCTGTAAAGTGCCCCTGGTAAGAAGAGGTTGGCAGGTCCTCACCCCAGCTTTCTGAGGTTCCAGCACTTAGGAGAGTTTGCTTCACAGAAGCCCTGCTGAAGAGTCCTACAGCGAGGCAAGAAGTACTTGGGAACTGACTGGTTAGAAGCTGCTCTGCAAGGACAGATACCACTTTCTCATTCCCCTCTGTACTTGCCTCCCCTGTTATGGCCCAGGCTTAGAAATCTGAGGCCTTCCCTGAATCCATGTGCACTTTTAACTTTAGTGTCTTTGGGCACCAGCCTTCCTGAGAACAAAACCCCTCCCAGGATAGAGTAGCAGCAGTCTGTTTCCTCAGCAGAGCTGGCACAGAGCAGGTGCTCAGTGAGTGTCTGATGGCCATGGGAAGTGTCCAGTGAATTGACTTTTCTATGAACATTTTAAATATCTGCCTTCTACTTGCAGGGATGGATGCTACTGACATCAGACAAGAGATCACAAATGTCTAAGTATCAGATTTAGCACTATTTTTAGCTGTGAAAATTATGACTTAACTGTCTACTAACAGAACTGGTACAATAAAATATGATTACAGTCTCTGAAAAAGATTAGATTTACATATACTGATAGTATACAGGATAGATCTACAGTACTGATAGATCTACAGTATATTGTAAAGAAAGAAAAGTATAGAACTCTATACATACTAGGACCCCATTTATATTAAAATACATACCATCCTTGTCTTTCTGTGAATAAAAGTTTAGAAGGGCAGTTATCCAAGTGGGATCCCCCTTAGGGATTTTGGAGTGTAAAGGGGTACCATAACCAAAAAGCATAAGAACAGAATACAATAAATAAAGTGGCTGTTTTAGAAAGGGTGGGAGTAAGGGACAACACTCACTTTGTATCTTAAACACTTCTATATCATAAATTTTTTATTTTTAAAAGTATGGACTAACTTTGTATTTCTTCTAACAATTCCCAATCTGAAATCTTTGTAAGTCTAGTTCTATAAGTCATTGTTTCTGATTCACTTGGTGGTGCTTGTTTCCTTCTATGTTTTGTGATTTTTAATTGTGAACTCATTCTTTGGAACTCTAGCTATGGGAATTCTGTGTGATTTGGGTTGAGAATAAATTCATCAAAGAGCCAGGTTCCAGGACCCATCTGGGCTGTTTTAGATGAGAAAACTAGCTTTTTAGCCCTCACCAAGGGCATAAATACAGGCCCAACTCATGGAAAGACTTGCCAGTGACTATAAACTCAAGGGACTCCACTCACCCCTTCCCATCAAGAGCCAAGAATAACACGCAAGTTTCCTAGTGGGTTTTAAAAAGTTTACTCTTTCCCTGCGTGTCCTATTTTATGTGTGTGTGTGTGTGTGTGCATAGGGGTGAGAAGGGCCTAAAGCTTTCCCCTTCAGTGTGCCCACGCAGGATCTGAGGACAACCAGAGGCTTCAGGGCTCACTTGTCCCTGGATTCGTGCTTCCACTTTATTCCTAGCCTCCGACAGATTTCCCTTCCTTTTTTGAAAGTACACTCCATTCATTGTGTGTTTAATCGTGTACCTGGCCTTGGTGTGTTGTAGAAGAAAGTAGCCCACCATAACGGCCCACTTTTACTGTTACAATTAGCAAAAACAAAGACTTTTCATTTTTCAAAATTAACTCTTTGGAGAATGAGGGAACAGGCACTGACTGTGAAGACCCCTCCCCACCCCCCAACCCAAGACTCACCTTGTAACAGGTGACCTGCTCCAATGGGCGGGGTCCCCGGTTGCCTGCACTGCTGTTTTGACTCTGCATGACCCCGATGACCTGCGGAGCTCTCTGCTGATTGGGAGAAGAGTTCTGACTCGTTAACTGGATCAAGGAGGACGACCTTTGTAATGGCGGATTGTTATTTTGCTGGAAAGAGTTACACAACACGGTTTTACTGCAGAAAACACGTGCACGCAAACTACCAATGGGGACAGAAAAAAAGAGGGCGGGACTGCTCCCGCATGACCAACAGGAAGAAGGGCTTCTGAGGTGGCCCCGGAGAGCAGGCAGAATAGAAACATCTGGTGATGGCAGGAGCGGCTGCCCGAAAAATACCATGCAGACACACATAAACGAAAAGTAAAAGTAGAAAACAAAACACCAAAGAGACAAGGAGGTCTCTGGGGCAGTGGGGCAAGGGCATGAGCAGGCCTTACTTTTGTTTCTGAGGTTCTAGCTTCAGGTCAGGATGAACGCTTGGTTCAGCCAGATGTTTAGCAGCCTACACGGCGAGCAACAGTCACAGAAAAACAGTTGGAGGCTGACATGCTGAACTGCGGTCTAGGGCTGAGAGGGCCCTCCACTAGGAGTCACATGAGCAAGGGGGATGGGGACTCCTGGGGTGGGACTGGATAGCAAGGCCACCTCCCAACCAAGTGGTTTCTGGCTCCAGCCTCCAAAAATACAGGAATCCCAAGCTAGAAACCCCCAGGTTGTCACGGCTGCGCCAGCACCCAAGAATTCCCAACTTTGCTAACAAGGAATTCTATCTGATAGCTCATAACCTCCTGAGGATGGGGGTGGTCAGTGTGGCAAGTGCAGACATTTCTTCTGGCTACTCAGCATCTAGCAGTGAGGAAGGCCTGGTGGGGCTTTGACAACAAGTTCAAAGTCCATCCAGCTAAGAGGTTAGGCTCAAGGTCCATGGGTGGGTTTATTCAGCATGTTGAGACCCTGCCTAGCGCAGTGGCCAGCCTTTCCTCTGGGTTTCCAATCCTCCACTCCAGTAACCAAACCTAGGATGCCCTTGCTGGGGTGGGGTTGGGGTGGGGGTCAGGGGGTGCAGCTGCTGCTGATTCGCTGATTCCCATTTGTCCATGGCTTTTCCTCTTTCCTCCTGCTTGAGGGGAATCGGGCAACTGCTGGGTTGTAGGACCCCTTGTCTAGAAAACGGAGCCAGCTGGTCCTTCAGCCCTCTGTTCCCAGCATTCCCCGAAGTTGGGAACATCCAGTGTGATCACAGCACTGGCCAGAGAACTAGCCAGCCTTGGTTTTGTTCCCAGATCTGCTCCTGCCCAGCTGTGGCACCTCAGGCAAGCCCCTCCCTCTAGGAGTGTCAGTTTCTCCATTTGTAAAGGAAAGGGTCTGAACCAGAAGCAAGAACGGCAGAGACGTGGAGCTCCTGCTGCCTTCCACTCTGGCTCCAAGGTGGCCTCAAGGCACTCGCCAAGCAAGGGAAGAGAAACCAAGTGGGCATTCAGCTCCAGCAGACAGCCCTCCATATCTAGAGGCAGATAACAAACTGCTCAGCTCCCTGAATTTTCTGCTGGAACTCAGGATGACTGTCTTGCCTCCTCCTGAGCCCTCTCACAGGTCTCCAGCTGGGGCTATGACAGACCAGGCATTGATGCAGGCACTGAGTTCTCTATTGCAAGGGCACTGCCAGGGCCAGCAATGCCATAGGGCCGAGGAAGGGCCAGAACACGGTACCTTTGACGGAGGCTGCGTCTGCTGGGGCAGTGGAGGCTGCTCGGTGGTTCCCATTGGCAGTTCAAATCGAGGGCTGGTGACCCAACAACCAGAGGGGATGAGAACAAGAGAAGAAGAGATGAAAGAGGAGCTAGGCTAGGCGATGTTCTCAAATTCTGGCCCCGGGAATATCATGGCCAGTTTCTACCCAAGTACAAAAACGAACCAACTGGACGTAGGGTGAATGTCAGCTCTCAGCTCTGCCCTTGAAGCCATAGGACAGTGGGAAGAACAGCACTGACATGCCTGGGCTCAGACCCAGCTCTGTTTATAACTGGCTGAGACCTGGGGCAAGTGCTGCTCAGAGGAATGAGGAAACAGCTGTGGGTAACATCAGAAGGCAGGAGCCTGCTCCACGAGGGGCTCTGAGCATGGGAGCCCTTCCAATACACACCCTTCCCTGCAGGATCCAACTCAAGGGCCAGACCTTCTCTAAAAGACTCCCAGGAGGACATGTCTGTCTGCCCCACAAGCAGGAACCCCTGGGCTACTTCTGGGCTCCTGGGCTTTCGTCTAGGGAGTGGGGCCAAGTCACTTACTCACCGTGTGGCAGCAACCAGGACACTGTGCTCCCGTACAGGTGTTGGCAGTATGGATGGAGGCAGCACCCTGTGCCACCCTATCCCCTCAACCACCCAAAGTGACAGGTGCACTGAGGCCCAGGAGAGGAGTGCTGAGCCCTGCTGGGTAAGAACCTGGCTTTGGAGGCCTGCAGACCTGCCTCTGATCAGGCACCACCCCCTACCACCACGTGACCCTGGCCAGTGGCTGAGCTGCCTGTGTCCTCATGTGTGAAAAAGGACATTCTCTTTCATACTTGTGAGAGTTACATGAACTAGTGTATGTGAAACCCAAGCTCAGTAATTCATATAGGAGGCCCTGACATTATAGTACCCTTCCTCTACAGCATAAGTTCTTAACCCGAGGGCCCTAAAAATATGCAAGGCTATGTGTGCATGAGTTTCTCTGGAACACAGGGCCCATAGTTTTCATCAGATTCCCTGATGGCTGTGCCCAAGAAAGGTTAAATGCTGGTGTAGTCAGCCACCTGAGCTCAGGAAGCAGCTGGGATCCCTTCCCAACCTCCTATCGCTACCCCAGGCACCGTGCTACCTCCACCCAGTGACCAAAGCCCAACTGAACCCAGGAAAGATGTACAGGGCAGCAGGGCCTGGGGCAAGAGCAGTGTGGGAGTTGGGGGGATAGGAGCTGGCTACTCACTGCATGAATTTACACGAGGGCCCCTCCGGGCAGAATCCCACGAGGTAATTCACACAGATGACTCTCCGCGTGTGCCGGTGCCTACACAGGGGACCTGCGGAGCCAGAGTCAAGCACTCAGACCACCCCCTCTTTAGGGGATGCTCTCGTGCCCATTGCCAGTCAGAGCCCTGCCCAGACCATTGTCAGATACTGGCTTTGCCTCTTATTCATAGGGATAGTGGGCAGGACACACACCCTCTCAAATACTAGTTTCCTTATCGAAAATGCAGAAGAGAATGTAGCCCACAGGAGCTTTGGGAGGCTCAAGTGAGTTGAGAGTGTAAAAAAAGCCTCACTAGCCCCCAAATGTCTAATACCATGTTTGCTGGTGTAGGCAGGACAGGTAAGAGGGTCATGTGGGCAGAGGGAGGACTGGCCTCTTGCCAGGGGGCCCAGCCACTCCGACACCTACCGTGCTTGCAGAAGCCACGATCGTACCAAGGGCAGTCCTTGATCTTGGACTCGGGGTCGATGTGCAGGAAGGGGCACTCCTTGTTGCTGCACTCCCCTGCAGGGAAACCCAACATGTGTCCACCCAGGACAGCCCTGGGAGAGCTGGACCCAGACCCACCTCGGTTTCTCCCAAGGCAAAGAGTGCCAGGTGGTTCTGGTGTCTAGTCCTGGCCTGGCGAACCCCGAGACTTGATAGAGTGCCTCAGGGCCTTGGTTTTCTGACCTGTATGTGTGCTGTGAAGGTCCTCCCTTCACATGTGTCCATGCTGTCACCAGGGTCAATGACACTGACAGAGCTGGGCACAAGGTATACACACACTCATTAAATAACTCATGGCTCCATCCCTTACCAAAGATGGTGTCCCGGGACTGTGGTGTGCCCAGGTGCAAACGTACCAGTTGAGGCCAGGAAATTACTGTTCTACTTGGATCAGCTTTTCACATGTACTAGCTGGGACAGGGGAAAGGTCTGAGGAGTCTACCTTTTAGGACAAAAGTAGGGAAGATTTTGGAACTCAGGTTGGGTCCCTGTGGTAGAAGGCAATGAAGCCTTTGTGAGAGGAGCCATCTTAGGAGCAACCAGCCCAGTCGCCACTAGCATCTTTCACCAGCTACAGTTCAGCCACCTCCATGCTTGCCCTTCCTTTCCAACCTGTTACACACAAAATGCTAATCTGAGAAAATGCAAACTCCTTCCCAGACCCACCAAGTTCCTACATGGTCTAGCTCATCCCTCCCCAGTTTCCTCCTTCCTCCAGCCACAATGGCCCCCAGCTGTTCCAAGACACTTGTCTGTCTACCAGGATTGGCCCCCTGCTTAGCCTTCAGATCCCAGCTCAGGTCTCACCTCCTAAGAGAGGCCTTCCTGACCATTCTGCCTAAAGGAGATTCCTCATGTGGTTCCATCACTGTTTATCTCCTTCAGAGCACTTATTGTGTCTCTTGTCTCACTGACATATCAGCTGCCTCTTGCCCTGGGTCACTAGAGCAAAAGTACCATGGGGCAGGAAATGGGCCTGTCTTCTTCATCACTGTCTCTTCAGGGCCTAGCAGGGGGACCCTCACCTGTGTTACACGTGCCAGGAGCTGCAGACAGTATGTTTACACCAGGTCAGGAGGGGGGCGGGGGGGGGGGGGCTGCTGTGCCCATGGTCATCAGCAGAGAAGTAGGGGACCCAGGTGAGCTTGCAGAGGCACCCTGGAGAGTCTGCCCTGAGGGCTGGCTCCTGCCTTTGGGGTCAGATGAAAGAAGGTTCCCATTGAGAAGCCACTGCTTTCTTTCAGTGATGGCTCCAGGGGAGGGCAGGAAGCTTGGAAGTCTGAGTCCTATTTCTATCTGTCTGTGCTATGACTTTGTAGTTTGTGTTGCCTCTCCAAAAAAAAAAAAGCGCCATAACTCTAATTAATAAGCCAGCAGGCCAAGCTTGTTGGGCTGCTGTAATAATTAGCGTCTCCTCTGACAACAGTGCTTTGAAAGTGTGCAGCAGGTCTAGCACTCCTCGGCCCACCACAAAGAGTATAGCAGGCTTCCAGTCTCCCACCAGGCTTCCAGTCTCCCTCCGCACAGGGCCTGGGGTTGGCGGTCCTGAGGCCAGAGCTAGCCCTTGTCCTGACCAACAAGGATTTTTCCTAGTCAACCTCACTCAGAGCAGAGAGCCAGATTCTAGTTCCATCAGAGAGCACAACAGCTTGCCCTCAGCCTCTACTTCTCCATGCAGTTCACTCAGGACCACTTAGGCCACATGTTCTCTAAGCAGGGATCAAGCCAATCTCAGTTTCAAGGTGAAGAGTACGGCTCTTTGCCTCCAGAATACAGCTCCCCAAACTTGCTATTCTTTTTTTTTCTCCCCAAACTTGCTATTCTTAAAGGGTATTTAGGACAGACAAGCTACTACCTGGGATCACATGTTCAGGGAGAAGGAAACCAACTCAGGGGGGTAATCAGTTGCCACACAACAAGAAGTTGGTTTAAGGGAGAAGGTAGACTTGAGCAGAAACAAGGCCTCTAGCCAGCTGCACTCTCACCCACCCACTGGGAGGCTCTCATTAGTCTCAAATTCCCAAATTACCTGAAAGTGCTCAAAAAACGGAAGCACTACCCTGGCCGGTGTGCTCACTGGTAAGAGCACCAACCCACGCACCGAAGGGTCTCAGGTTTGATTTCTGGTCAAAGTCATGTACCTGGGTTGCAGGTTTGATCACCAGCCCTGGAGGCAACCAACTGATGTGTCTCTCTCACATCAATATTTCTCTCTCATTCCCTCCCTCCCACTCTCTTAAAAAAAAACTCAATGGAAAAAATATCCTCTGTGAGGATTAACAAAAAATAAAGAAAACACACAGAAGCCCTACACAGACGTAGGGATATAGAGATAACTTCCCATGACTAATAGCCCAGCTGAGGGTGGAGAGCAATGCCTAAGGTTCTCATCTGAAGCTGGACAGATTGGAGACGGTAGATACCCGGAGTGCCTGAGCAGTTGCTTAACTCCTCTGGGTCTTGGTTCTTGGTGGAGCCTCCCTAGAGTTACTGATGGGGGGTCGGGGGCAGGGGTGAGGGGGGGGCGGGACGGTGGGTTCTGGATGGGAGGAAGGGGCCTGGCCACACCTTACCGAACTGCCTTACCAAACTTTGAGTAGAAGTAGCACTCAGGCATCTTGGTCATGTCATACTCATGGAGGAACTCGCACTGGTCCCCCTTCTTGCACAGCCCCCGCAGCCAGTGTTTGCACACCACTGTCTTCTCACCACTAATGTGGCGAAACGGGCACATGCCCCCTGCGGAGGAAGATAGAAAGATGTAGCCCTGAGCCCAGGGGCACTAGGCCTGGGGGAGCCAAGGCGCCTTCTCCCCACACTTTCCTGAGGCACCGAAAACCAGAATGTCCCAGAAGGTGGTGGCTGCCCCTAGAAGGCAATGTGATTTTAGGCAGTACATGGGCACACATTTTAAGTTTAAAGTTATGTCTTTTATTTTAATGTGTTTTAATAAAATCTAACTAAAACATCATGATTTCACAGATTGTATTTAAGAAGGAGGCTTGACAAGATCAACAGTGGTGTGGGGGAGGGGTGGGTTTATTTCTTTATTTAATTAAATAGTTCCAGTGATATATGGACATGGCAAAAATTGTAGGGCTAGTTAAACAAAGATTGGGGTTTGGGAAACCCCAGTTTTATTTAAACTATCTTCTAGCCTAAAAGATAGAAGGTAAAGAGGACCACCAATAGAAGCCTGGACTCCAGGTGGGCTCCATCTTTAGTTACAAGTACCTTCTTAGCCTCCAATAACTAAGAAAATCAGTTACAGAACTGAAGAAATGTATTGCATACAAACTGGGGGAGGTCTGCCTTCTGCAGTAGGACCTGAGCGACAGGACAGAGCCATACCCTGAGAAGGTCCTCTTTCTAAGTAGTGGCCTGGCAAGACTACTGGGAAGGCCCAACCAGAATGAGGTTGTGACTGGGAAATTTCTGGACCAGCCCCGTCCAACAGAACTTTCTGCAATGATGGAAGTTCTATATTTATGCTGTCCAATATGGCAGTCAGTATCCACATGTGGCTATTAAACAGTTGAAATATGACTAGTATGATTGAGGACCTGCATTCTTAATTTCATTTAATTTTAATTGATTTAAATTTGAATAGCCACATGTGGCTAGTGGCTACTGTATTAGTTAACAAAGAAACAGTCATAATGCCCATGTTAAGGACAGTTGCTAACAGATGGTGGCAGGTCAGAGAGGCAGATTTACTGAGCAAGGACATGGGAATGAGCCCAGGGATGATGATTCCAACTGCAAAGCTGGAGGTCAAACTGGTTGACCTACCGGTATGTCTATCATCTCAGTGATAAATGACTGAGTTATAGAACCAAAACTTGCCAAAATCAGTCATTAACACTTGGAGTGGGGGAAACGAGTTAAGTCGGCTCGCGTGAATTGCGCGTACTCCGCGGGAGCCGTCTTTAACTCGGTTCATATAGATTTGCGGTGGAGTGCGGGAAACGTGTAAACTCGGGCCGATTGTAACTGCGTATTACCAAATATTTGTTTGTAATCCACCCTTTTGGTGGATGGAACAAAACCAAAAGACAGAGCCATCTTATATTTTGGCGGGAAATTCACCCCACACCGGAGTGTTAAAACCAATCTTGCTGTAATTCTGTGTTCTCTTTCAAGCTGTGATCAAATTTAGTAACCAAATAAATTTGCCTAGAAAAAGAAAAATGGCCAGACCTATGTATAGTATATAAGGTCCAGCCAATACTTCTCCTTATGAATAATCTGGCTCACGCAGCCTCTGTGGGGGCCTGGTTAGCATGAACAAGACTCCATGAGACAGACTATTGTTGGGTGTGGGTTTTTTGGATGAGAGGATATGGAGAACAGTGAGCCTGTACAGACTGTAGAATCACAAAGGCCTGGGCTCAGATACTGGGCTCAGCCATTCAGTAACTCTGTGAGTTTGGGAAACACAGCCCTAAAAGATAGAGGTAAAGAGGACTACCAGCAGAAGTCTGTCTCCACTCGGGCTGCATCTTTAGCCTCCAATACCCAAGAAAGATCAACTACAGAACTGAAGAAATGCATTGCATACAAACTTGAGGAAGTTTCTGAACATCTCAGTGCTAGGAGCTCCTGTTCATGTCATAGGTCAGCTTGTGGCCACAGGGAAAGTGAGGTGAGAAAGCTGATTCAGAGCCAGGTTCAGTGCCGTGTTTTAGGTTTCAGGCAGAACACCCCATCATGTTCCTACCCTATCCAAACCACAGTTTCATCTAAGGACACTGTTATTCTTGAGAAAGCAATTTAAGCTAGAGACCTGATGGCCTACAAGTCTGCTAGGGGAGAGAGAGGTAGAAGGCACCTCAGGAGGAACATCAAGGAACCAGGGGTCTCTTACCTTTGCCACAGGCAGCTTTCAAAAAGAATTCACAGACAGCAGCCCCTGACTCTGTAGAAAGGAGAGAAAGGGAGAAGGGTCAACAAAGCAAGGTGCAATTGCTACTGATGACATATGAAGACAGGGAGAGGAAAACCTTCTGGCCTTTGACCTATGAAATGTTCATGATACAGGAAATAGGCTGGCAAAAAAAAAAAAAAAAAATGCAAAGCCCAACCAAGCAAGAAAAATGTTGCTTATGCAAAATGAGACACATATGTTAAGACCAGTCATTATACAGGCTTTCTGAGAGTCTCCTATAATAAAAATGCTTTCGAGGATTTGGGAGTGAGTGGGCGAAGGAAGGATGGAGCACAAGATCAGGGAAATTACCCCGTGCGTGGACCTTCCAGAGGGCTAATTCCCCAGCACTTTAATGTGAGGCAGAGGGAGGGAATGATCTCACAGGAAACACACATGAATGGGGACTCTAAGGAGGGACGAGAGAGAGAGAGAGAGAGAGAGAGAGAGAGAGAGAGAGAGAGAGAGAGGGGAATGAGAGAGAATGTCACCATTAGGGAGGGAAGAGCATATAACTGAAGACAAAAAAGCAGGACTACTCTTAATTTGCAATACCAATGCAATTATTAAAGGAGCAGTGCTTTGCTTCTACAGATGCAGCTGGTTCTGGTGAGGGGAGCAAGTGAACACAGGTGGGGTGCATGCGGTGGAAGTCAGTGGGGTCAGGGTTAGCTGTTCCAATGAGCCCAGTAATTCAACGGCCGTGGCTAACAGAATAAACCTTCCGGTTTCACAAAGTTTTGTCTATCAGCAGGCATTTCAGAATTGCTGAAAACCCACAGAGAGCATCTCCGAAGGCCACTTTCTTGCCTCTACTTATTAACTTGCAAGGGATTCCTTGGCTTCTGGGCTGCAGGCCGATTTTGCTAGGGCGGACTCAAGGCGTGGAACTGGGGATCCTGGAGGTGTCACTTGTTCGCATTTCAAAAGGTCTGAAAAGGGAGCTCGGGCACCTGCCAGGTGTGATGAAAGACCCAGAGTTGGAGTCCAGAAAAGAACGGAGGGATAGGCTCCCAGGAGTGAGTCCTAGGAGAAGAAGGAGCTTGAGAGTCTGACGGGTCTTCCAGACTCCGCCAAAGAGGAGAGCACAGTGAGGGCACTGGAGGTGGGGAGGAGGCTGCACAGTACTTTCCAGGAGTTGGGGGGTTTGTGGGGGTGGGGGAAGGATTTCCAATCGAGAATACCCGCTTGCCCTGGCTGTTTGCTCAGTGGATAGAGCCTCGGCCTGCAGACTGAAGGGTCCCGGGGTTGGATTCTGGTCAAGGGCACACGCCCGGGTGTGGGCTCAATTCCCGGTAGGAAGCTTGCAGAAGGCAGCCAATCAATGATTCTCTCTCATCGTTGATGTTTCTCTCTCTCTCTCTCCCTTTCCCTTCCTCTCTGAAGTCAATAATATATATATTTTAAAGAGGATACCCGCCTTCATTCAACAATTATTTGAACAGCCGGACATGGTCCAGCCCTCCTGAAGATTATCTTAAACCACCCCGGGGATCAAAGATTTGAGGAAGGTGGGCTCCCGCGTGCGGTCCCAGGACCGAGGGAAGGGTCCCAGTTCGAGACAGGTGCGCCTCTGGCCCCGTCGCAACCACGCTCAACTTCGATGAAGTTCAAACAACATCGCCTTATCCTAGAGCTGCTGCATCACCAAGATCTCATACTCTACCTCAAGATTCTTAAGACGGAAAGTATTTGTTTGCTGTTTTATGGTATCCAGACCCATGGGCTGCGGACCAATCTTGCATGTTGGTATCCAAGTATCTAGA